CAGCGTTGATAGAAAAAGGGAAATTGGAAGTTGTTACCAATTTTGAAAAGCCAAATGTCAACGCACTGTTTGATGCATACACAACGTATTTTGTGAAGATCCACCGCGCAGATTAGGTGTGAGTGTAATGTCGTTTGTTGCTGTAAAAGGGGGATGTGGAAGGTGTCAGCCCTTTTTAAAAGGCAAGTTTCAATGTGACGTTGAATGCATATACCAGCTTTTTACGTGCAGATGAGCCGTGCAGATGATGTCTTAGTGTAAGTTCAATGCATTAATGCCTTCCCTCAGAGAACGTCACTGTGGGCCATAAGTTGCAGAGGAACAACATCTGTTGCAACGATATTCGAAAGGATATGGAGCTGCCAAAGTAAACGCACTCGCTGTGTTCGCAGCAAACCGCACTTCCGTTGCTCACCGCACAGCACACTAATGCTGCTTCAGAAGCGTTTCCTGGCACTAACGGCGACGCAAGTCCCGTTAAAATCAATAGCGGTCTACTGCCGGACTGGATGAGCCCTTCGTTGTTTCCCTAAGCGTTTCTGTCATTGATCGCGCACTTTGCTTACAAAACAAAGGAGGGAATCCAGAAGGCCACGTTGCGCGTAGAGTGCGGTTTAATGCCAGCTTCACTGGTTTTCGAAGCCCTGGAGCATGAATGACCAGCCTTAGGATCCTTTCTCTGTGGACGTGGTCCTGATGGTCTTGGTGTTAGTCATGCCCATGTTAGAATGCTGTATAAGCGAATTTGAAGATGATCACGCTTTTGAACAGGCAAATGTCAGTGCATTGTTGGATGCAAATACAATTTGCGTGCAGATGCGCAATGCAGATTGTGTCTGATTCTGATGTACTATGTTGAACCATCCCTTATAGCAAGGTAAACTCTGGGACTTGCATTGTGGAGGAGCAATACCTATCGCGGCGATATTTCAAAATGGTGTGAATTTGCTAAATAGGAGCACTCGCTGGATGTTCAGCAAATCGAACTTCGCTGCGTTACCGTACAAAGCACTAACGCGGCTTCAGCCCCGCTTGCATGGCAGTGAAGACAACGCAAGTGCTGTCACACTCACCAATGTTCAAATACTGCGGGACTGGGTGAGCCCTTCCCCATGGCCTTAAATGTGTCTGTCACCGATTGCGCTCTTATCGTACAATGCACATTATTGAAGCCCAGCAAGCTAGGCTGCATATAGGTACATTGCATACAATGGGCTTGATCTAACCTTCCATGGCTATGAATGCCCTGGATACCTGTTTTGATTTGTGCATAAAGCCACCCATTATTCAGGCGACATGTTGCCTGTAAAATGCCTGCTACACCCAGGATCGGGCGAAAACCCCCCTGGGTGCCGAAACGCGGCTGGCTTTGCCTACGTGCATTGGTTAACAACACAAGGCGCAAGCACCACAAGCCGCGTTGCATGTGCAGCAGATTGGTTTGCTGCGCCTTTCATCATTGGACATTCTTGCATCGCGTCGCGATATGCGAATCTCTAGAGCGTGTACAGATCTGTTCAGGCACAATGGAATGCGCAGCAGCAATCCAATCGCGGCAGCCATCGCTGCTGCCCTCTCGTGAGCCCCCCAGATGGCCAGAGTCTGCGCAGCAAAACTGTGAGGCTTGAATATGCATTGGCGCACACCCCAGGGACCATGCACGCCGACTTGAGGCGCCCTGAACATGCGTTGCCCTTTGGCCCACCTAATCTTGTAGTTCCTAGCGTCCGTACAGTGTTCACGAGCAGCCCCGACCGCGGTGTTCGACGAGAAGGCCACCAGGCGGTCATTCGGACCTGCGACCAGTTCGGCCACACTCTCTCAGCTGTGCTGGAACTTCACATGCTGCAACCAGGTTTGGTAGTTACGGCGTGAACACTTGCATATTTGCGGCTATTTCGGCATAATACGGTCTTTACGTTTTTACGCATAAATAGCCGTAAAATGCACAAGTAGGTCCAATGCACTTAAATACAGTAGATGCAGACTCAGGGAGTCCAGGGAGTGGCAGCTAGATGCCCTGAGGTACGCATAAAGCGATCTTTTGCTGGTTGGCGTCGTTGACCTTGCTGAGGGCGAGGTGTGCGCTCTGTTGCCGGTGCTGAAAAGTGTGCAGGATTGATCGCTGATTGGGGCACCACTATGTAATCTGGTCGTGTCGACGAGCCGTAAGGGTTCGTAAATACAGCCGTAAAGTTGGCCGCTTTTTACACGTTTTTGTGCATGAGAACGTAAGCGCGAAAATGGAGCAGTAAAACGTTAAGGCCGAGCCTGACTGCAACAGACGTGGGTGACTAGGGCCCGGGGATACAGTTCAACCTTGGAGAGGAGTATGGACGAACATACCATTCCAGCTCAGGTGGTGCGCACGATGGAGCCCGAAACAACACCGTGGCGGTGCACAGATACGTCTCCATACGGAAGAGGGCGCATGGCGTCGAGGAACTGCACACTCGCGACACCTACATACACCTAGGCATGACGAGAAGGCAAAGATGATATTCTCAATCAGAGTTCGTGAACGCCGTTTTCCTGGACAGCAGTTGCCAATTTCCTGCGGCCAATAACTGAACGGCATCACCCCCTCTCCCCTTGCCGCCTTTGTACATTGCTTCATCGTAACAAATGCGTGAGTGCTATGTAGGGTGGTTGATGGCGCAATCCTTCCCCATTACGCGAAGCACAAGGCAACGCGGAGAAGCATGCGTCGCCCATTCCAGACAGTACATTAAGGATTCTTACATACTTCGTGATCTCACCCTCCAAGCGCTGGGAGTACTTTGAAGTTATTGGATGAGTGGTGCCCCAAATATCCAAAATCGAATAACCTTGAATTGTGGTTGATGTTGTCATATTATTCTTGGTGTTGCTTTCTGTATCACACAAATATTGCAATCAAGAAACTGTGAATTTCGCACCGCAAATTTTTCGTGAGGATTACGTCGAGGAGTAAGCTCGTGCTGCAGAGGTGGCTACAACCGGTGAGTGGATGTCTTCCTCAATAGTGGGAAAATGGACGGGGCGTACATGTCCTGCATACAGGTAAGGCACAATCAGGGACGGCAGCATTCTGGCTCACGCGTTGGCACATCCACCTCAGCAACACTAGCCAGGGTTGATTAGGGTTAAGTACTCGGCGGATTTTGCGCCGGCGTTTTGCACGAGGTGGCAGGTGCGATCAACGAGAACCTCTTCCAAGAATGGGCGATGAACAGGACTGAAGACCCAGAGGAGAAGATATTCCTGCTTAACGAGGGGATTCAGAGCCTGCCGAGAGTTCTGATCAGGAGGATCCTCATGCATGAATTCGAGGAGACGCTGTACCAGACAATTGAGGGCGGCGGGTTCCTGAGCAAGCCTGGCATGGCCACCTTGTTTCTCGACCTCCACAGGCAGTACTACGGTCCAGACTTGGTGCTCGACGACGCCTACGGCATGTTCTTCGCCAACATACCGCACTTCTATGCGACATACTACCTGTGGGTATACTCTACGAGCTATGCAGCTGGAGAGGCAATCGCCTCCCGAATCCGCAGGGGAGATCAGGGAGCTGCGGGCGATTACATCAAGATGCTGAAGCTGGGAAGCAGCGTGTATCCATTGGAAGCTTTGCAGACTGCCATGGTCGACCTCCTTGACCCTTCCGTCATTGGCTTGGCCATGATGCGCTATCAGAACCTGACAAGACGACTGGCGACTGAACTGGGCATGGGCGAAGAGCCATAAGATTCCTGACGCTCTTTTTCGAGCTCCAAAACATTGCATCAATGTTGACAATCTTGCTGTAAGTCTGCAGCACACTAACATGGGAGACACGACGGGCCTGCTGGCATTGCTGTTATTCTTGCCGATTAATATCTTCGTAAGGAATTGGATGGTATTCGCGGTATTCGCGGTTTTAAATGGGCGAATTGTTAGTGTGTTGTGTTGGATATGATACAGAATCTCCGCAAGATTGTGGTTTAATCATCATTAAAATCGATGGATTACATTTGCCACTAAATGACAAAACACAGCCCGTGCACCTGGTGGGCGATGATGGGCGTGAAAACCACACAAATAGTTTGTTCGGAATCGATTGTTCTTGGTCCCATGTCGCCACACCCTATTGCTCCATGAAATGCAGTGAGCTGGCATGAATAATAGAATCCCCAAATTGGTCCCTAAGGAAACTTGCTGTCCACCGTGTTATGTAAGCTGGTACTCCAAACTTCTGCATTTGGAAAAGCAAATAATTTAAACCACTCAAATTGTGGTTTACATTATTTCCATATGCAGCGCGTCGTTTGGCATTTGTTTAAAGTATCCTATACATCAGAATGGTACTACAACAGGTGTAATGAGCTGACTACTACACAGTAATGTACGACACACGTGTTGTACACCACATGTGCGATTCAGAATATTCGCAGCTCAATTCGTCCAAACTAAGCTTCTTCTGCCGCTCAGGGCATCTATGGAATGTTTATGAGCAGAAACTGGGATCAGGCATTGCATATGTCGGTTGTTTGGAAAGTTCACAGTTTCTTAAAGCCAAGGCATGGATGGCAAGAATCATGCTGTGAACCCATCTTTATACGTCATCCACAAGTGTAGGGGGCCCACATCCGAATTTGGCCCTGCGTGAAGCTGTTGAATGGGTGCATGACACTTGTAGTATGTAATTTTCTTGAGTCATGCTGGCAGCAATATGAGGCTGGCAACCAGGGCGCCTGAGCTCCACGTTGTTTGACGTTGACAGCGCCAGGAATCGACACACTGTCACCCCATGAACGCAATCAAGTGCCTGTATTAGAGCTGCGGCGTGCGAGATTTATGCCGGCAGCAACATGAAGCCGGCGCTCCGGGCGCCTGAACCCCATGTTGTCTGACCCCAATAGTGCCAGAATCAACACACCGTCACCTCATGACAGCAATGACGTGTCCGCATTAGTGCTGCCGCGTCCGCGGTTTTAACCCCCAGGTATCGGATGTTGGGGTTTTGCACGAAGTCCTCAACCATGCGTTCCAAAACAGCTTTGGCGCGGTGCGGCCCAGCCCCGTCGGCGCTGGCTGCGACTTTGCTCCTGCTCGGTAGCCTGTGCGGCGTCGCTGCCCAAGAATGCGAGGACAAGCTGTTCTACGATTCGCGCGAAGATATCCCGCGGCGCTTCCGCTGGAGCCTTGGTGACATTTACGAGGACGCTGAGGCGCTTGAAGGCGCCGTGTCAGGGGCAGCAGTGGCAATCCCGGAGATGGAGAAGCAAAGGGGGCGTCTCGGCGACAGCGCGGAGTCCCTGTCCGCGGCTCTGGGCCTCAAATTCGACCTTGAGGCCGAGGCGCAGAAAGCGAAGTATTATGTGACTTACCACCAGTCGGTCAACACATCCTTTTACCATGGGCCAGAATTTTCCTCTGCGGCTGGGTCGGCTTCGTCCTTCGCGGAGCGTGTGGAGGAGGCGACGGCGTTCGTTTACCCCGAGATCGCTGCACTGCCGCGATCAAAGCTTGAGGCCTTCGTTGAAAACCCATCGATGGAGCCCTATCGACATCTGATGGCGAACATTGCGAGGACCAGGGCGCACATCCTGTCCCCCCAAATGGAGTTCCTGCTGGCGGGAGCCGACCGCCTGCTGGAGGCACCAAACGGGATCGCCAACAGTCTGAAGATCCAGGACATAGAGTGGCCCAAGGTAGCCACAGAGGATGGCAGCGGCGTGCAGGTGATCCCGGGCCTCCAGAGGGTGTTCACCAGCAGCCCCGACCGCGGTGTTCGACGCGAGGGCCACCAGGCGCTTATCCGGACGTACGACCAGTTCGGCCACACTCTCTCAGCTGCGCTGGCCAGTCATATGGAAGGCCAGGCGTGGGTGACTAAGGCCAGGGGATACAACACGACCTTGGAGAGGAGATTGGACGAAGTCAACGTTCCAATGCAGGTGGTCCGCACGATGGTGGAGTCCGTTCGCAACAACACCGCGGCTGTGCACAGCTACGTCGCGCTACGGAAGAGGGAGCTTGGCGTTGAGCAGCTGCACACATACGACACCGACGTGCCCCTCGGCATCCAGGGAAGGAAAAGGTAAAACTCCGAGGCATGGCCTCTTACCATCGAATGATGGCAGGTGACAACATCCTGTCGCCAGCTGCGACAGGCAACGTCTCATCTGCAATTTGCCAACGGCGACGTCTCATTTGCAATTTGCGCAACGCCTCAACTGCAATTTGTGAACGGCAACGTCTCCTCGCCGTCCCTTGTACATTGCAGCATCGGAACAAATCCTTCAGCGCTATGTAGCGCGGTTGATGGCGCAATCCCCTCCATTGCACCAAACACAAGGGCAATGCGGCAAGGCATGCGTGGTCCGTTGCAGCCTGTGCATCAATGTTTCTAACAAACTTGGTGACCGCGCCCCTCCAAGCGTCGGGAGGACTTTGAAGCTGTTGGATGAGCAGTGCCCCCAAAACCGAATCGAATAACTTTGAAATATGGCTGACATTGACTTATTACTCTTGGCGTTGCTCTCTGCACCACACAGATACTGCTATGAAGAAGCCGCGGACCTGGCACTGCAGTTTTTTCGGGAAGTTTACGGCGAGGAGTATGCTCGTGTGGCAGAGACGGCTGTTGACAACCGATGGGTGGATGTCTTCGCCAATAGTGGAAAAATGGGCGGGGCGTACGTGTCCTGGATCTACGGGGTTCACCCATACATGCTGCTGAACTGGGAAGGCACAATCAGGGACGTCAGCATTTTGGTTCACGAGTTGGGGCATGTTGTGCACGTTCACCTCAGCAACGCTAACCAACCCTACCACTACTCGGCGGAGTTTGTGCCAGCGTTTCTGCACGAGGTGGCAGGTGTGATCAACGAGAACCTCTTCCAAGAATGGGCGATGAACAGGACTGAAGACCCAGAGGAGAAGATACTCCTGCTTAACGAGGGGATTCAGAGCCTGTCGAGAGTTCTGATCAGGAGGATCCTCATGCATGAATTCGAGGAGACGCTGTACCAGACAATTGAGGGCGGCGGGTTCCTGAGCAAGCCTGGCATGACCACCTTGTTTCTCGACCTCCACAGGCAGTACTACGGTCCAGACTTGGTGCTCGACGACGCCTACGGCATGTTCTTCGCCAACATACCGCACTTCTATGCGACATACTACCTGTGGGTATACTCTACGAGCTATGCAGCTGGAGAGGCCATGGCCTCCCGAATCCGCAGGGGAGATCAGGGAGCTGCGGGCGATTACATCAAGATGCTGAAGCTGGGAAGCAGCGTGTATCCATTGGAAGCTTTGCAGACTGCCGGGGTCGACCTTCTTGACCCTTCCGTCATTGGCTTGGCCATGATGCGCTATCAGAACCTGACAAGACGATTGGCGACTGAACTGGGCATGGGCGAACAGCCATAAGATTCCTGCCGCTCTTTTTTGAATTGCAAAACATTGCATCAATGTTGACAATCTTGCCGTAAGTCTGCGGCACACTAACATGGGAGACACGATGGGCCTGCTGGCCTTGCTGTTATACTTGTCTTTGAAAGTGTACTGTTTGAGAAGACCTTGAAGATATTCACCCACTTGAAAAGGCGAAACGTTGATATTCTGTATTGGATAGGATGCTGAATCTCTGCTGCAATGTACGTGTGCAATTCCTCGTTTTGTTTACTTTTGTCACGTGACAAAGCAAATGGCCTTCCACCAAATTGGCGATGTCAGGCAATAGTCCCAAACACGTGTTTTTGTTCGATCTCACAATGTCTGTGAGAGTTCATGTCCGGTCAACCCGAAGGGCTGCTGGGCATCCAAGGCTGGAATGTGTTTTACAGATACCTCTAGCAGTAGCGCATGTAGTGCGAAAGGATCCTAGAATAGAAAGCAGATCAACACGTGGAATGAGGGCAATGCTGTGCTGTCTTTGAGACCCAAAACCCCGATGGCATTGGCATTTTGCTGGGACTTCACCACTTCCAGCATGACCACAACGGTTGCAGCGTCAATTGCCTGGTTGCATGATGCCAGTTCCGGACGATTCACAAGCTCTGCTGATCAATTCAACCCAACTATGCCTTTCCTGCAGCCCAGTGAATCTGTGGCCTGTTTAGGACCAGTTGCATGCACCACCAATGCAGGTATGGGGTCCAAGACCGAATTTGCCCCACATAGAGCTGCTCAACTAATTTTGAAGGAGATGAACGCCAAGCTTCCTACATTATTTGCAGGCCTCCCCCAAATGTCGCAAAACAAGGTTCCTCAGAACACACCTGGGCCTCAGTGCCAGCCAAGCATCCGCATAAGATGCCGTGGAGCCCACGCACCCCTTCGCCCCGCAAGTCCAACCGATCAATCATCCCTTGTGGTCACTATCGCGTCGGCTTCGATCTCGACCAGCACCTCCGCGGTGATCAGCCGCCGCACCTCGACCATCGACGTGGCCGGCCGCACGTCGCCAAAAAATTCCGCGTGCGCCCTCCCCACCGCCTCCCAATCCCTGTCTATGTCCAAAACGTAAATCCTCGTCCGAACGACGTCCCTCAGGCTCGCGCCGGTCGTGCCCAGCGCCGACTCGATGTTGCGAAGCGCTTGCGCGGCCTGAGCGCCAACATCCCCGACGCCCATGAGCTCGCCGTCGGGACCGGTGGCCGTGGTGCCCGAGACGCAGACGTGAGGGCCGACGCGCACCGCCCGCGAGTAGCCCACCACCGGCTCCCACGGCGTGCCGCTGGAGATGTTTCGGCGACTCGAGTGGGGCATTTCGCACGCCATCCTCGCCGGATTCCTCAGCGGACTGCCACGGGCTCCCGCGGGCGCGTGCCGCCAACCCCGCGTCGCGCCTACACGCGCCTGCAAACGCAATTTGGCAAGCGAATGCCCTGCTGCAAGCACAAGCGGCGACGATCTGTGCGGGCAGAAATTCATCTCCTCCCGCTCGCACGTTCCGCGAGTCCCCGTGAAGAGACACGCCAAAGCGCGTCCCGGCCCGCGGTTCAACAAGCAAATGCCCCGTCTCGAGCACGCAAATGGGGACGGCCTGGACCGGCAGAAAAATTCTCGCCTCCTCTGGCAGCTCACCTGTGCACTTTGGCTGGGCCAAGGACGTGCAACGCCTGCGCGGGTGTGCCGGCATTCGCGGGCGCCCATTTCTACTCCGCTGTGACCCGCGGGCCCGGTTTGAGGGTGTGGGCCACGAAGGTTAGGACCTAGCTGGCTCTGAACCCCTTAAAAGGACCCGCGCTGTGGCTGGCCGCGAGATTGGTGCCTAGCTTGGCCCGTAGGTTGGCGCGACCATGGCCCTCCCTCTGGCCACGGCCTTCTGCGGCCCAGCCCGCGACGCCCCAGCCGCGGCTCCTTCGCGCCGATCGGGTGAGTGATGCAAACTTCGCTTACCTAGGATGCCCTTCAATCAGGCGTTGATGGAAGACAGCATCCCCTCGCCGCCGGAGCGCGGATGCGCATTGAGTTGCTCCCTTGGCCGGTTTTCCGCGCATCCTTACAGCTCGGTCTGGTGTTTTCCCCGTAGAATTTCTTCGGGGGGCGTCATTGGGCGTGGTGGAGTGCCCGCGTCCGGCCGCCCGCGGTCGCAGTGCTGCAGTCAGGTGCGCCGGTGGTGTGATGGGTGGCCGGATATGGGCCAAACTGCTGGGAAAGACGCTCATGTGCTTAGTTGAGGCTTCGAGAGTGGCCGAATTAGGGACCCAACTTTTGGTTGATCTGTCTGGGCGTTTTTCGTGGTGGCACGGGTGTGGCCTGGAGTGTGGCATTAGGCGTCGGGTCATGGCGAAGAAATCTGCCTTTGTTCAGGTGTCCAGTTGATTCGGGCCCGTGCCGCTGGAGAACCCTTTTGGGTTTGATTGCGCGAGTGCTGTTGTGTTCTTGGATGTCCCCTCGATTGGCTCCTGTGGCTTTGTCCCGTGTCGCTGGTGAGGAGTGACCAGGAGCCACGGTGGTCCACCCCACCATCGCGTGTTCAGCAGTTGCCCTAAAAGCCGGCACCAGCTTTGGGCGCCACATGTTGTACTCATATCGGCCCCTTGCAAAGTGCTCACAGTACAATGGGCACAAATAGTCCATCCTTGTAAGCGTGGTTTCGTTTGCAACAGAAAAGGAGATGCGGCACAATCCTCAAATACGTGTCTTAGTACTTGATGCCGACTGTTGCAGCGCCCAGTACAAGGGGCGAGGGACGGACCGGTCACGGGTGCCCGAGTTCCAACGCCATGACAAGGATACAGGGTCGACGGAAGTGCAGATTGCCCGCCTGAGTGCGCGAGTATCACAACTGACTGAGCATCTGAAGGCAAACAAGAAAGATTTTGCCACAGAGCGCGGCTTGAAGTCAATCTTGGGGCGCAGGAGACGACTGCTGAACTACCTGTACCGGACGGACAGGTGGGGCTTGTTCCAGTGACTGTGCGCAGGAGTTGCATGTCAGTACTTTGGGCGTATTGGTGTGGAATGGGACAATTAAACTCGTCAGGGAGAGCCTGTTATGTGCATGAGTATGGGGAGCCCCAGGCGTCGCCTGAAGGATGAAGTGCTTGGTGTGCCTTATCCTGACAAAGGTAAGCAACAAGGACTTTGCAGCATTGGTTGTTGCACCTCTTACGTCATTTTCTTGGCGAGAGTCACTACAACGAGTTCATTGTGAAGTGTGTTTTGTGCATGGTTTTCTGACAAACAGCATGATGCGCTTGCATGCAGTTTGGCAACCTCGTGCCCAAATATGAGTGCTGACTGCTTTTTTCTGGACACACATCTTGTTTCTCGTACTCACTGCTGCCTAGTCTCCCAACTTGAAACTCAGTTTCAAGAGCCGTTTGCTGGATGGAGACACCCACTGAATGATGAGTTTTATTCTCTCCTTGTGGCCTTGTCCTGCTCCACAACTGACACCGTCGTTCGTGCTAAATCAGGGAGAAGCTGGAGACAGTTGTCAAGGACCTCGGCATCCGGTATAAAACCCAGGAGGCAAGGACGAACTAGTGTGGGATTGAACACACATTACGCCACTTCAGATATTTGCTGCAGGCCAAAAGCTTGCAGTGTTCTGTTGGCTGAGAACTTGCACGTCCTTTGCATCTACACAGATCACTGCAATCTGTGTTGAAGACCTGTGATAGGGTTCGACAGGGCTGGGTTGAGAGGAAACTAGGGTATCAGTGCTGCTTGAGTTGCTTTGCATGTGGAGCAGAGGGGGGCTTCGAGTCCTGTTGGAATTGCAGGCCTACAGGCACAAGCTGAGCAACAAATTTTTAAGCCCAGTTGCTGCGCACGAGTGAATAGCTTTGGATTCTGGATTTGGACTTTTGCCTTGAAATGAAAAAGCGATCAACACTGTAAACTGCCTTTGCAGCAATTCCCTAAAGCTACACTTGTCGTGCTATTCAGCCCTCATTGTCGTTTGCATGCTTGTAGCAACGTGCCCACTGGTGGCCCAATAATGACGATGACTCTGCTTGGGCTGGTGCTGTGCACCCATCAAAGACAGAGCCTTTCCTATGCTGCATTGAGCTTTGCTGGCACAGGTTAACACAGTCTGCTTCAAAAATTGTCAGAAACCTTGTTGGTGTGGCAGATTGGGTCTGATCGGACCAGGTCCACGTACCCTTCTTGTTGGAAAATTGACAAATGAAATGGCCTGCTCACGACTCTGGGATCCAGCAACACAGGATGGTACAACCATGCATCTCCCAAGATGGATGTTGGGCCACCATCTTTGCACGGTTGTTGCCACCACTGCTACAGGTCCAAGACAAAGCGACACAAAGCCGTTGTTGCACAACCGCCTGGCCGGCACTTCCAAACGATCGTGTCCTCCATTTGCGCCCTTCAACGTCAGAACTCGGCCTCCATCTGTCCCACTGCCAGAACTCCCCCAAGTCCAATGCCACTGCGATTGCCCTGGGGCGCAGCCACAGATGCAGTTTCCTTTCCTAACAACATTCGCCCCTCGAACGCAAACGCCACCCAACGTTCAGGAATGGAACCTTCGGCGGTGCACGCTCTTCAAGGACGTCTCCCCTGACCACCGCAGCTCATCACAATTGCAAATCCAGGCCCGATGACAGACCAACGGTAGAGCGACCAAAGGCCACATGCGGCCTGCCCTCCCCCCACGGTCTCCAATCGCCCAAGCCCCCGCGCGTCACTCCCCCGGCTGCGACACCCCCATCTTCAACCGCTCCCGCTTGGCCTTCTTGGCCGAGAACTTCTTCTTGGGCTTCTGTGGCATGTTCCGCTGCGCCCACCACCACAGCAGCACGTTGGCGGCCATGGCCAGCGCCACCGTCCCAACCACCACGATGAGGATGATCGTGGCGGGGTTGCTGCCCTCTCCAGCGCCTTCCGACGGCTTCGCTGCCATCGGCCCTCAGCCCCCGGGCGGGATCAGACGTGGCTGGCTCAAGGGTGGGCTGACCGTCGTCACAAGCCAGGGATGTTCTCGCGATGGTCGCGGCCGCAGGCCGAGGCGCGGCGTTCCCGAGCGAGTTGCGCCGCTTGCAAGGCGACACTTCGGCCGGGTGCTGTTGTCAGCCCTTCAGCACGGCATTTGTGTTGCAGCAGGTACAGATCGCACCGAACGCCTCTGTCCCGATGAAGAAAAATGGAACTCGTTGTTTGGACCACGGGTTCGGCCCAATTTCTCCCCATTTCCCCGCTACCGTCCGTGTGGGGGCTGAATATCAAGGGGCGATCTTCACCGGGTGGGCATCGCAAAAGACCCTCCCAACAAGCGCTGTCATGTGTGTCTTTCGGGGGCAGCTGTGTCGGGCCGTTGTGGCTGTGCATCAACTTAGGGGTGGCACTGTGTCGACTTGTGACTATTATGTTGACGCGCGTCAATCTTGACGCAACTGATGTTGCAATGGTGAATTTGTTCACGTTAGTTTGACGCCAAACTTATCAACGATTGAGACATGCTGTCCCTGCAAATGTCGAATTGCTGCCACTGTGGTGTAGAATCTTCAGCGAATACGATCTCATTCCTTTGCTGGAAGCTATGATGCCCTGCACCTTCGTCCAAGAGCTGCGAATGTCCATTGGCTTTTAAAATTCCTACAAAATGTAGCGGATACCTTTGTCGTTTAACAATTTGTTGGAAACGTTTCTTTGACTTCGGCTTGGAAATCGATGGTCAACACTAGATTTAATTGACGGCTGGGGGAACAAGCTGGTTTCAAGAATCCAGTTGATGGCACAGGCCACCTGGGTAACAGCTCCCACAAAGTTTCAACGACTTCATTATACCGAACTTGCCCGCAATGCAACGTTCGTCAACAACAATGATTGTTTCTCCACGCCAAGCGAATGCTGCTACAAATACAGGGGCGACGTGCGGCAACTCTCATGCTATGGATTCCGCTTTCAGTCTTCGTGGTCTCCACCTTGCTTTCATCGTGCAGCTGAATAGTCCGCAGAATAAGATGTCCTTGTGACCATGGTTGTGGTGTGAAGGCTGATCAAGCATAGAATAACGCAGCAACAGTATGTCGATGGGCAATTGGACAATCTCATAGCCAGTGCTGGTCTGTTTCCAGCACAAATGGGTAAAATACATGGCATCGCGTTCAGCTCCTACCCTTATTAGGCCCTGTAGCAATTATCAGGGAGAGGGGCCGGACAATGTGTATTGCATGGCTGTCCTCTGTTGCCCCCAAAGAGGCCATAAATTCCTCCTTGAAGTCCACCAGAGGATCCTTGCCTTTATCTCCAAGCATCTTCTTGTATGTCGCATATGATGACCAGCTTGCAAGGTAGCCCATCACAGCATGGATTGATGAGTCACTCTCCATCATCATCGTCTCACGCTCAACCTGTTCAAACTCTGCTGAGCGTGCGGGCTCCATTCCCTTGTATCCTGAGTCCAACAGTTTTCTCCTTTTGTCCCAGTATGGGCCTAGGGTCACTGTGTGGAGTTTCAAGAGGGCTTCTGTGGCTTTTGGATGACTGGGAACTTTGAACAGGCCATATCCCCAGGCTGCCACAGTGCCTCTGGGCTTCAACACCCGTCTGCACTCAGCATAGAACTTGGGCAGGTCGAGCCAATGCAGGCCATTTCCAACTGTGATCAGGTCTGCACTGCTGGGCGGAAGGTCGATACTCTCTGCAGTGCCAACCGAGTATGTGACGTTGGGAAGGCGAGGAGCCTGAACAGCGCAAAGCAACTAGTCACCAGTGCTGAAAAGAAGCTGTGTTTCGGCTGAAAGTCGAGTTCATTGTGAACTGCAGGCATGCTCGAGGTTGATCTCGGCATTTGGGAAATTTGATGCTTTGCAGGGTTTTGTGTGTGGTGGTTGCAGGATCCCTACTCAGAGGTTGTGGCAATGGTGCACGAATCTGCACTGGTCGCTGGTTGGCAAATCGTGCATTGAGGCAATTGAGTTTTGGACGATACTTGTGCCATCAAAGGTATTGCACCAAGCGCAACGAACAGTCCGTGATCTGCCGAGTAAGAGAGAACAGATTGCAACACCCAAAATGTGCCCACAAACAGCTCGTGGGTGGCTTGAATGCTACAGCACCAATTCACAATTCGATGCCTGGCAAGAACCTAAATGTTGCAGAAATTATGTTTGGGGCAGTGCTGATATTATCAGCAGACTCGGCGCTGCGAGGACAGCCTGAACAGTAATCTGACATGGGCGATGAGCAGATGAAAGGATTATGAACAGATTGATGAAAGGTGATGAACAGATTCCAAAGTCCACACGCGGGCCCCAGGACTCTCGCCCTACAGAAGGGGATTGGGGCAGTGGAATGCACGGGCTTATCCTGTTGAAACTCTGCTCGGCGTGCACCTGCCCCGGGCGACACTTCCAGCCCCCCGCAGCGCGCCCCACAAAGTGTCGTGCCCAGTGAAATCAACTTACACTTGTGCCTCTCGCGACCTACGATCGCCCCAGCTCACGTCGGCACGCCGGCGCACCTGCTCGAGCTGCTGCCTGCTGGGATCGGTGGCAACCACGCGATCGAATTTCTTGGCCAGCTGCGCGGCGACCTGGCCGCTGCCGGTGGCCACGTCCACGGCGAGGCCGAAGCCCTGCACGCGCCGGTATATCTGGTCCGCGTACAGCGCAGGGGGGTAGGTGGGGCGCCAGCGCGCGTACGCGTCCGCCTGGTGCCGATCGGTGAAAAGCTCTACCCCGTTGCTGGAAGCCGTCTGGGACAAGGTACGGCTGGTGGGGCCCCCAGGGAGTGGCCTCTGCGCGGCAGGGTAGCGCAGCAGGCCGTGGAGCAGCAGCCTGGGCATGAACACGCCGCCGCTGCGCATTGTCAAGGCGCAAGTCTCCGCGCCGGAGGTGTGGCGGGCTTACGGAGGGCACTCGGCGCGTTTTGTCGATAGTCACGGGCACTTTGGCACAACAGCTGGGACGTAAGGGCCACGTCAGGCGGCAGTATATATTGTCGGCGGGCACTTTGGCGGGGATGCGGCGGTTGGGGCCCAAGGCCGCGTCACAGCGATCCAAGGGCCATGAGGGCAGGCGGCGAAGGGTCGTTTCCATTCGGATGACAAGCGTCATGTGGGCCCGTGGACAATACTGCCCCACCGGCAAAACCTCGGACGTGCTGTGCTGCGGCAAACGGGGGGTGCGTCAAACCGAGCAGTAACCTCTCCAGCGCCGAATCCGCGCACGTCGTTTGTCGGGATTTCTCCTGGCGTGGGATCGCCCCACGTGGGCGCCGACGCCGGTTTTCGGAGTAAAATAATGGCCGGCTGATCTGCGAGACGGAACGGGGGGGCAACGCTGACGGGGCGGGGCGTGGGCGGGCTGGAGAAAAGCCAATACTGTGCGTGCTGCCCGGCGCAGGAGCCAGGGGCGGGACCCCCCGAGATAAAGGGCACCGGCAGGAGGGCTCCCCCCACTCGCGGCCACCGCCCGCCCGCCCGCAGCCGGTATGCGATCGCCCCCGGACCCATGGGTGAAAACGGACGCCAAGGGGAACCCCAAGAAGACGGACATCGAGATGTTGGTGCTCGTCTCCAAGGATCTGGAGCACCGGCTGCACACCGAGCTTGGCGCGCAGGGCAACAGCCTGGGGGAGCGCATGCGATGGTGCAGGGCCAAGCAGCGGCCGGGTGGGCGACCCATGCTGTCGGCGGGCCTAGAGAAGAAGCTGGACATGGTGAAGGGCTGGCGCAACCTGGTGGTGCACGAGTGGGGCGTGGACACGATATCGGACGAGGATAGGGCCACGCTCGTGCGGATATACAAGGAGATCAGGAACACGCTCAAGCAGATCGCAGCCCAGATCAAGGCATCTGGCGCCGAGGGGCCCAGCGGCGAGGATGCCCTGCCGCTCAGCTCGCGCGTGCGCGACAAGGACCACCCGAACGATGTGGGCATCGTGGTGGACAGCTGCCGGGGGCCTGATGGCGCGGAGGAGATGCAGGTCGCCTTTCCCTCCGGCACGGTCGTGGTGGCCCCCGAGCAGGTGGAGATCGACGCCACGGCTGAGCTGCTCGAGGAGGGTGCCAGATTCGTGCTGAGGAAAAACTCCCCGCGTGAGCCCGAGCTCCGCGGGCTGGTGGGCGTGATCAAGTCCGTCTCCGAGGCCGGCGCGGTCACGGCCGAGTTCCAGGAGTCGCCGATGCCGGACTGGACCGGCCAGCTGGCGGACTGCGAGGGCGTCGTGGGCACTGGGCATGGCGTAGAGCGCGTGCGCGTGGGGAGCCCCGTGAGGCGGGCCGTGGTGACTCATGCCGATTCCACACCCCAGGATGAGTCCGCGGTGGGGACGGTGCGCGGCAGGGCGGTGGACGACGGGAGATTCAAGCTGGTCGTGGACTTCCCGGGCGAGGAGGGCAAGATGATCGACCCGCGGCAGCTGGAGATCCACCCGCCAGGGGATCAGGAGGGCCCCAAGGCGCCGCGCAGCCCGAACGCGCACGAGGGCGAGCCACCAAGGGCGGACGCCCTGGAGAGCGGCGCATCGCGGAAGGCCGCCGGCGGTGGTGGCAAAACCGAGGGAACGCAGGGAGGGGGGGAGGGGCCCCGGTGCTGGGGGGGCCACGGGGCAGGGGGTGTTGGTGGTGGCCGCCCGTGTCAGACGGCCGCAGACGAGGGCCGGTCAGGCGTTGCTGGCGCCCGTCCAGGCGAGCAGGCGGGGCTGCTGCGTGTGGGCGCTAAGGTACGGGTGCACGAGGTCGCCATCTACCTGCCCGGCCATGACAAAGCGGGGGTGACTCCAGCGAGGACGCCCAGGGCGTCTGTGGGGCCGCTGCTGCAGGTGAGGAAGATTTGCGGGGACGGGCTGGTGGAGGTGAGCTTCAATGACCCGGCCCTCGGCCAGCTGTCGTGGAAGGAGCGGGCGGAGAATTTGGAGGTGGTGGTTGGGCCCAGGGGCCCGAGAGACGGCGTGTCCCAGGGCACCCAGATCCGCAGGAGGAAGGACGCGGCCGGCCCGCAGGGCTGCGTGGATGAGGTGGGGAGGGTCGTGGGCAGCACCATCAAGCCCACGGGAAGCTACGCCCTCCTGGCAGACTTTGGCAACGGGGAGGCCGTTAGCGTGTCTCCCGTGCACGTGGAGGTAGAGCCTTGCGCCCCCGGCTCTGTTGTGAAAGACACCCCGCGGGGGAGGCCGCCCGTGTCGGTCGGGGGACCGGCCAACGGGCGCAAGTCGGGGAGAGAAGGCGGCTGCAGCCCCGAGTTGGCGGCCATGCAGGCCGTCGAGCAGTTCGAGGCGTTTTTGAACGCCCGTGGGACGGAAAAAATTGGACAGGCCACGGCCTCGCGCACCCCGAGAGGAGGGGATGACTCAGGCATGAGCGCATTGCGGGAGGAGGCCGCGAACAAGGCCGGGGAACCCCAGGTTAATAAGGCCCATGATTTGGGGATCGCTAAGAAGCCGAGTGGGGCGAACGCGTGTGCGGATCAGCGGTGGATTGGCAAGGGCGTATGTGCCCTCAAATCCGCCACGGCAGCCGCCATGGATAACGCGGATGCCGACAGACGGCCTTGGAAAGGCGGCATGGTGTGCTCGCCCAAGTCTGCCGCCAACATCTTTTTGCAGGGCTCGGCCAGTATGAAGACTGGTGCCGAAACTGGGGCAAACACGAACAGGTCCATCGGAGGTTCCACGGTGGATGGCTCGGATGTGGAAGGCCGCCCGATGGATGGGCAGTTCAATGACACAGAGGGGAACTCCGGAGCCTCTCGCCTCGACACTTTTGATATGCACTGCTTCAAGCTCGATGGCTGCAGGCGTCAGAACGTCGCCTGATTCTTTTGCTGGATTCAGATTCGCTCACGTGTGTGGCTCTGTTGATCAACGGATGATGACGAATTTTGTTCGCGTCAGAGACGCCCCTCTTTGGCGCCCATTGGAAATCGGCTTGAAAAGGTAGCGAAACTTCCGCTCCATAATCAGGTGCCCACACCCGACAAGCAATTTTGCACATTAATGCACGGACCGGTCCGGCGTCAATTTTGGGACTGCAGAGGATCGCAAGACATCCACCGAAGGGGACGTGCACATGGATCGCAGTTCGGACGCCCGGCGCCATTCGTTGACGCCCAGGTCAGATTTTTTGTGAGAGGATAGAACTAGCACTCAGATTACGAGTGTATGGCTCGTCGTCCACTCATGTCCGTGCCCAGCGAAGCAGATTTAAATTCTTTTGAAGTTTTGACGTTCGGAATGCGCTGGCGCGGGTTTTGATGATGAGGAGACCAACGAGGTCGTAGGTATCCAAATTTTGGGGGAAGGGGAGGGCTCCTCAAGCAGGCAAGAAGCATAAAATTGCGATTTCGGAACAGATGCTGAGTTCCATTTTGAGCACGTGAGTTTGAGCAGGAGGGAGCGGCACGTCGATTCGCGCTGACAGGCGCAGTTTAGCTACTGAACGGCTTGGAAGTGCGAATAACGGGGGAAAGAATTTCTTTGTGGCTGGCTTTTTTCGTTTGGGCTCGGCTTTTCATCAGGGATTGTGGGGATGGTAGGTAAGCTATGCATCTCGACATATCCTTGAGCAACGTACGTGAACGCGTCTGGTTGGTTGTAGTCCAGAGGTAGGCTTGATTAAGATTGGGTTCATATGCCGGTTACGGGAATCGTAAGAATCGAACTCTGTCCTGGCTTTCCGCGCGGTATTTGGCTTGGGAATTCACCTTCACCCTGGTCAGGACAGCATGTATTTGTCAGGAATTGTGGGGCTGGTGGACATTGCAGCAGATGCATGATCATGTGTTTACGATTAACGTGCGCGAAGGTGTCTGGTTGATGGTGGCCATGTGGCCTGTGCGATTTAATATCCAATAAGTTTTTGCTTTTGCAATTCGTAGTCTCGGGCGTCGCTCTGACGCCACTCGAGGCCAGAGCTTGAAAATGCGCGTTCTTCGGCACACATTCGTTTCGAATGTGTGCATATGTACTATGAGCAGTGCTGTGTTTGTCAGTGATGTTGCAATGGCCTTCCCAGGTGCTCATGCCTCAGTACAAATCGTCACACAATGCATGTGAAGAAACAGGTAATTCATTTAGACGGTGGCGTGTGACCCGCCACGCAGCCTTCATGTTGAAGCTGTGGATGTATGAAATCGCCCAGTCTGTGAGCGATGAAGCAATCCAAGATCTCATTCACAGAAGATTGGATTGCAGATGCAATTTTCTGCGTTGGGGCTTCCTAGCATTCCAGAATGTCAACGCCTGTGCAAAGTGCACGACTTCCAGCAGACACCCTGGTGTCTATCAGATCCTCCACAACAATGCGCCTCAATGAGTGTGTGTCTATCGGGACCACCATCCAGCGCATGCGAGAAGGGCCACGACCACTTCATGGCGTGGTTTGACATGCAAAGGCTGAAGAGTAAATCTCAGGGTAGCAGTTCACCGAACTGGCCGGCGTGAGCACTGAACCATTGATCAATGTGTGTGGTTCAATTGAACCTTGCAAGCAGGCCGTGCCTCTGGGTTCGAAATTTGCAGGGGGCGAAGGTTAGGATTGACATGAAAGATCCCATCCCTTGGGCATTCTTTGCCGCAACCCTGGGTGCCTATCTTAATTGGCGTTCTTCCTTCCATTTGATGTGTTTAGGAAAACGTGCACGTCGATTACATCCAGTTTCAGATATGCTATCACCGGGCCAACAGAAAAGTATAATGTAACGCTATGTTTCTCCGAAATAGCATTCAACCAAGAACAGCATAGAGCGCACAACGAACACTCTTGGACACATGTTTTCCTGCAGATCACTCACTGCGTAAGCACTCCAAGCGTACTACGATCTCTTGGATACCCATATTGAAAAGGTAATCTTTCCTTCGAATGGCACGCCAAATACGCTTTGGCGAATGGAAAGTTGCCACGTTTCCACTTGTATTGTACCCAGCAAAAGGATGATGCGACAAACTCCTCATCGTAATGCAATTTTGGACAGCAGCCATCACCTTGCTCAGGCTTGTTTAATAAGCTGCGGCAGTGTAAATGCGACAACGTAAATGCGGGTAACCATGCGTTATTATAAAAAAAATCTATAATAAGCCAGACCTTTAAAGGTCTGTAGAAAAGCCTATAATTTCGCACAAATGCGTTGTGTCGGCACAACCATGTTACTTGAAGCCGCAGAGAAATATTCCGTCCGCCGCCTCTTAAAGCAACCGGCACAGCATCCACCTCGCCCTCGCAAATTTGCCTTTTACAGGCAACCGTTGCCGTTGTCGTTACGACGCCACCGAACAAGCGGCCTTCCCCTACCTACCTCGGATCGCCGTCACCTTCGCTACCATTGCCACATTGGATATCGGATCCACGTTGTTAAGGAGCATCCAACTCTCGTCACTTAATCTTGCGAATATGAAGCATCCAATTTGCCTGCATCTGCGTGACGTGGTTTGAAGGCAGTGGTGGTTGAATAACGCCAAGCTTGATCTTTGCGTTTATGTTTTCACGTGTAAAAACGTAAACGCGCAGAAGCGTTTATATTTACTATATTTACACATTGTCACTACTTGTCGACACACACAGGTTACGTAATGATGACCCAAGCAATGATCAGTCCTCCGCCTCCTCGAGCACCCACAACACATGTGTTGTGTATGTACTGTGCAGTGCCCACCTCGCCACGGGCAAGGGCAATGACATCGTCGAACAAAAAGTCGTTTTCTTCCCGCTCCGATGTGTCTGGCTGTCGCTTTGGGGATCCCCGGACTCCCTAGTTCTGTAGTGCTATCTTCACATCCACGAGCCTGAATTTGCAACTGTGCTTACGTATTTTTACTAAAGTTTACACGCAAAACATAGATACTATGTTTGTGAATAAAAACGCGAATACGGTATGTGTTTGCGCTGTAAATACCAAGCGTGGACAACACCGTGCATGAGTTTCACAAACTTTCGTGAGCATTGCAAAGCTGTCACATTCAATCGAAAGTTACTGTATGTATCGAAGTTGTTTTTGTGCGTTGCTAGAGGCTTTGGCTCTCCTACAGAAGATCAAGCGGTATATGCAGCTGCCATGGGTAGGCAGCCGCTTGCGTTTAGCTGCATGTGTCTGCCTGATACGTGACACATACCAGCACACATACTTTGCGTGTGCACATTTGGATTGCCGATTAGTCACGATTGCTAAGTTGGTAATTATGGTTAATCGGCAAGCCAAGCTTATTGCGAGCGAGCGAAGCGAGCGGAGCTTTATAGAGCAAAATTGCGATTTTGGCCGACCACACGCCGCCGGCCGCGCGCCGGGCATGCACCACCCCCTCCCCGGGCTTCCCAACGCCGCGCCCGGCGTCCGGCAGCCGCGCCTGGCTTAAGCATGACTAAAGGGGGGGGCCGTGACACCTCTGGTGCCATGTGCGTGTGCGCGTGGTCCCTTTTTCGTGTTACGCGCGGGTGTTATGCGGCCTGTCGGCCTGGGCTTAGGCGTGACTAAAGGGAAGGGGGGGCTCCGGGACACCTCTGGTGCCATGCGCGTGTGCGCATGGTCCCTTTTTCGCGTTACACGCGCAGGCGGTACGCGGTTTGCGTAACCCCTACGGTGGGCCTCCCAGGTCTTGCACTAGCGCGCGGCGCACGGGAGGCGCGCGGCGCGGACGCTGACCGTGCACACGCCGCCCATCACCGGGCTTCCTTGACCTGCGCATGGGGCGCGTGCGGCGCAGCGCGCGGCATGGCCACCGACCGGCCACTCACGCCCATTCCCCCTCGCTTCCTTGACCGGCGCCCGGCCTGCCGCATTGCAGCCGATAGCCCACTCACAGTCCATCCCCCCAGGCTTTCTTGACCGGGGCGCGGCGGCCATGAACCCGGCGGCACTTGGGCGAGTGGTCGGCAGTGGCGATTGCCATCGCCCACGGCCATGGCTCGAGTCGCATCTGGGAGGGCGATTGGTAAGGGATGTAGGGGTTGGGGGGCAACTGATGCGAAAAAAATCTGTTCACGGCGATTGACGCAGCTGGTCGCCCGATGCGATGTTCACTTCGAACAAGCTCGGCGGCCACTTTGAGGTGCCTCTTGGCGTCTCTTGGCCATAGATTAGAACGAGTGGCGGTTTTAGAGGAGTGGGGCGGGCTGGTTCAAGTTCAAATTTGAAATTTGCGGCCGCGGCGATTGACCTAATTAGGGGTATTAGGGGATTATAATGGGTCGATCGCCGTGATCTTTCACTTCAAAGAGGCTTGGCGGCGGCGCTGCAGCGCTGCAGCACTTTGAGGTGCTTCCTTGGTGCCGAATGGAGGCGAGTGGCGTGGGGGTGGGGGTGGGGTGGGGTTGGGGGAGGCAAGTTTGAAAATTCTGTTTGTGGCGATCGACCCGACGAGTCGATTGCCTTTCACTTGAGAAAAGTGTGCTAACGTCCTTAGGGCGGGCGCCTTGGAGCGCAGCTTTGGCAGTCGCTCTCGTTCGGAAGAAACTGCTGGTGGGTGGGTGGTCTTGGGAATAGTATGCGAGGCATGCCAGGTTTGCAAATCTCCTGCAATTTGGCACATGAATTGCAGCAAAAGTGCTGCACCGCTCGAGCGAGCATGGTTGCGCCAGCAATCACTAGTAGAACGGGGTATTTTCAGGACCAGGTCCTGACGTCCAGGACGGCGTCCGGGACGGGGTCCTGGACGTATGGTCCCGGACGTATTTTGGCCATAACCGGACCGGTCCGGGGGGGGTCCTGAAGGGTCCCGGACGGAGTCCGGCGGTGGATGCCAACAATGACTGATGGCGTCCCGGACGGGGTCCTGCGAGCTCCGGACTTCGTCCTACGGGCTCCGGACGGGGTCCTTGAGAGCTC